ATAGATACATTGATGACATCATTTTGGCAGCTTCCTCTTTTCATGTCTCCACCATCCTAAAAGTCTTTAACTCCTTTCACAAGAGATTACAGTTTATTATCGAATATGCTAATAATAATACTATTAGTTTCTTAGATACTCTATTGATAGTTAATGAAAACCGTTTAGAATTTAATTGGTTCCGCAAACCCACTTTTTCTGGAAGATTTTTGAATTTCTTCTCTCATCATCTTATTGCTCATAAAACGGGCGTTATTATGGGTCTTGACAGGGTTTTCCACCTTTCCCATCCGAAATTCTACGAACAGAACCTCTTTTCCTCATTCTCCTTGACAATTCCTATCCTATCCATTTCATTCATAAAACTATTCTTCGCAGATTAAAATTTCTTATTTCCAATACAAATCCGTGTCCGTCCTCCACTTCTCTTTCCTCTTCTAGCCTTCATTTTTTATTATTCCGTTCATCAAAGGCATCCCCAGAAAACTTTATACGAGAATACAAGCAATAAAGTAGCTTAGATGATATAGATATCATAGACATTTAGATATTTATTAGATATCTATTAGATAAATTTTTCCGTGTGGGAAATTTTATATATTTTATATTTTTTTTATATATTTATAAGTAGGATGTTCATATATAAAAAACAATTAATTAAAAAGCAAAATATTAATCAAAAATATAACTTGTATAACTTTAATATAACTTGTATAACTTTAATATAACTTGTACATTATCCATTTGAAACCGTACAATAATAATTCAGGAGGTAGCAAATACACGTCATTTTAACGTTCCAAATTGATCATTTTTGGTCATATGCGTCCTCAAAATGACTGATTTGTTATATGACTTTATATTGATGTCTTGATATAACATTATTTCAATCATAAACTGACGGTTATTTTATTATTAATGTCATTAATTAGTACATCGATCCCATAAAAAAATCTTTCAAAAATCTTTCAAAATTTTTTATATAACATGACTTTCACGATCAGACTTTAACAATTTTCTTTCGACGCATGCGTTTATCTGTGCATGACTCCATGTTGCTTAACCATTGAAGTGTTCATTAAAGTAGTGCATAGTGAAAATATTAGCTTTATTAATTAAGTGTAATTAAAGTGCCAATAAAATATATACATTTTTTTTTATTATACAGTTGATTGGCAAAATATATTTTTATAAAAGGGTAAGACATAATTTATTGAAATTTTAGATGATATTAGAAATAAGTTTATTTATATTTAAATAAAATAATAATAAATATAAAACTTATGACCTATTTTCTTATCATATTTTTGTTTTCCAGCGTTTTCAAATAAAGCAATTTAATCGATCCGAGGTTTCTCTGAAAAATAGAATGACTGTAATTATTCAATGATCTTGAATCGGTTAATCTGCTTTATTCGACAACGCTATTAAATTATGCCGAGAAACATTATTATGCCAAGAAAAAAAACGTCAAAATATGGTATATTTTATGACATCAAAATGCGATACATCTCATGACGTCAAGAATCTGTGATATTAGACCGTCACTTTTATGTTATAAAAACGTCAATTCGTGACGTCAAGAATAGTCAGTGAATGACCAATTTGTAACGTCAGAATGACGTGTGCTTGTTACATGGATAACATTCTTTTTTAAAAATGTTGATTTCGAAGTCATGTATTGTAGTTCGGTCAAAAAAATTCTAAAAAAATTTTTAAAAAAGTGTAAGCAAAATGTTGTAGTTTATGGAATTTGAGTTGAATTTTCTGAGAAAATTTTTTTCATCATATCTAAAAAGTACTGGTGTATTTTTAAACTCAGTCAAAAAAAAATCGTAGGAAAATTTATAAAAAAGCGTTTTGTAGGTAAAATGTAATTTATGGAATTTTAATTGAATTTCTCAAGAAAAATTTTTTTATCAAGTTGCGGCGTGTTAAAAATACATAATTTTAAAGAATTAAACAGTGTATTTCTTTTTAAAGTACAAAAAAAAGATAAAAAAATTTTTTAAAACCACCAACTGTGCATTAAAGTTGAAACTTCAAAATGCTTTTAATTTTTCGACGAGTTTCAGCGGTTTGAAAATAGCCCAATTTTTAGGATACAAAAAGTGTTCTCTATTTTTTTTAAGTAGAGTACACACACACACACACACACACACACACACACACACACACATATATTAGCTTTTGCCATTTTTCTAGTTATAAAGTTAGTATATATAAAGCTGATGAATATCTTACTTATATTGAATAAAATATTTTTAAGTTTAAGTTGGAATGATGAAAAGTTAAAAGATTTTATTAATATAAATAATCACCATAAACGCGTGAAAAAGAGCGAAAATCGAAATTAAAAAAAAAATTCTTTATAATCTACATAACGGTTTCAATAAAATTTTGGAATCTTGCTCTTTTTTTGTCAGCGATTATTCATATTAATAAAATCTATTAATAAAATCTATTTCATATTAATACCCAGATAGACAGATATGCTGAACATAGCATGCAAACATTTTATGTATACTTTGTGATGCAATTAGAACAGCATAAAATTACAAGTAACTTTAAATGTAAGTATTATGATGTCATATTGTTATCATACAGAGTGTCCTAGACCACCCGTACACCTCTTTTCTTTCAAAAACTAAGCATTTTAGAGAAAAATGTTTTCGACAAAAATTGTATGGTTTTGAAGGGAACATAAGATGGTGTCATTGGTTTGACCTTGGATGGCATCGTTAAGGTCAGGTCATGGTCATCTTTAATTTCTTAAATGGAACTACCTATTTTTTATTGCATATTCTTATAGCTTATGTCGACAGCTTTCCAAAACACTATAATAAAGTATTTTTTCATTGAGTACTTTTCGAGTTATGAGGCTTAAAATAATATCTTAATTTTACATAAACCATAAAATATCTAGTAAAATATTTATTTTTCGATTATCTTACCTTAATACTTTTATCTACAAAATAATGAGAGGAATCAATTGGTGTAAAAAAACACATAATTGTTCCAAAGAAAAAATATGTAATTTGCAACTAACAATTACATATTTTTTTAAAAACAACTGTGTGTTTTCTTTACACCAATTGATTCCTCTCATTATTTTGTACATAAAAGTATTAAGGTAAGATAATAAAAAAATGAATATTTTACTAGATATTTTATGGTTTATGTAAAATTAAGATATTATTTTAAACCTCATAACTCGAAAAGTACTCAATGAAAAAATACTTTATTATAGTGTTTTGGAAAGCTCTCGACATAAGCTATAAGAATATGCAATAAAAAATAGGTAGTTCCATTTAAGAAATTAAAGGTGTCCTTGACCTGACCTTAACGATGTCATCCAAGGTCAAACCAATGACACCATCTTATATTCCCCTCAAAACCATATAATTTTTGTCGACAATGTTTTTCTCTAAAATGCTTAGTTTTTGAAAGAAAAGGGGTGTACGGGTGGTCTAGCACCCCATATTTGTGTATTTCACAATATAGCAATATGCTGCACTTTGCTATAAACGCACAACTGCAATCATTATAGGAAATGTTTCTAATATAAAATTATATTGTAATTGTATTATTTGTAGGAGCAATAATTGAAGCAAGCTATTTGACGAATGTTAATTTAGTATTATTGCATTGTAATGTATTTATTAGGTAGTTGCGTTCTTATGCTATTTTAATTTTGTATTGTCATTTAGAAATACACAGCATTTTATTGACATAAAATATTGCATATTACAATTCAGTTATATTTTAGGTATTAGAAATAAATTTGTGTGTGCACAAAATGCACATGCAAAATGTATTAGTTCGTTCGTTTACTTCTACGCGACGTGCGATGTGCTATCATTCTTAAGTTTTAGTTAGAAGAATTATATAAAGTTTGCAAAGAGTAATAAATAACATTAAAGATATATTGTTCAATTTAATTTCTGATCTCAATGCTTCAGATATTAAGTTGATTTTATAAGTCGGACAAATAAATGTCCGGCACATAAATGAAAATAATTTGTTATCTATTTAAGATGTAAAGTGCAATATGCAAGTATAAATATAAATAAAATTTTTATGTAAAATATTAAAATTTTTATATAAAATTTTTGTATGAAATAGATAAATTATATTATTATTTAATTTTGTTGGGTCAAATATTTTATATATTATAAAGGATACATAATGCCATTCATTTATATATAAGGTAAATGGCTATAACTTCGTCAGCGGATATAATTTCGTCAAGCCTTCTTAAAATTATATAAATTAAGCAATTTCGCGTATACCGACTATATTTCCCAATTTGAAACAATTTGAACATCGGTTTCGGGAAATATAATCGAGATACGCGAGATTGCTTAATTTATTTAATTTTAAGAAGGCTTGACGAAATTATATCCGCTGACGAAGTTATAGCCATTTATCTTAATCAAAAATAATTTTGTAAATATATTCATTTCTTATTCCTCCAATAATGTCGGATTAATTGCGTTCTATTTCTGCAAAATAAGCAATATATTGTCGGAATTTTTACAGCATCAGAAGATCTCTTTCACTTGCTGATAACACTCATGTCATATGAGGACGCATCTTTCAATGTTTATGCAAGCATTTTCAATTTTAAAATTTTGTCATTATGCTGACATATGTCTATCTGGGTAAATTAAATCTATTCTGTATCACTTTATTTATCTAATCAGCTGATTCATTACGGAGCAAAATCAAGTTAAGGTGTTACCAACTTTATAATTAGAAAAATAGTTAATGAAAAATAATTCGGAACGTATCTATTAATTTTATACTTAGAAAGATAGCGAAAGCTAATTCGGAAAGCACTCTATATCTCAATAATAACTGAGATATATTATCATCTAAAATGCATTATAGAGCGATTTTTGAAGTATTTTAATGATAATTTATTTCATCATTAATAATTATTATTACTACTGATTATTTAAAATTATTATTTGTCATGATTAAATTTCTTTAATTACCGATTGTTATTTGAGTCCTCAAAAGAATCTGCATTGTAGAATTTATTGCTCAGAAGGAATTTTGTGTCAAATATATTTATATCCAAAGAGTGATCTTTATTATCGTCGTCTTCACTCAACGAGGATTCTTGGCTATTATCACCTGTAGATCGTTTCTTGCAAACTTGCATGATCTTTTGGAATTGATCTGAGTGTTGGGCACCTGTTCTGCATTTTAATGACTGCAAGAAATATAAATAGATAAAAAAATAAAACTTTTTCTTTCATAAACAATTTTTCAAAATTTTAATTTTTTTTCAAATATTATATAACATTTTTATATCATATGATATAACATTTTTATATCATGATTATTGATTTTTCATTATTTTAAATTTTTTAGGTGATAAATTTTAATTAACCATCACTATTTTAAATACAAATGTAAATTGCATTCCAAATTGACTATATTTATGTAATTATTATTTTTAATTAATTTGATTATTTTTAATTAAGTAAATTTTCTAAAAAATCAATGAAAATTGAATGAATTGTCTTTATTATACAACATGTCTCATAAAAATTGTGTCAACAATTGTGAGCGGATAGAACGCAATAAACTGAATAGAAAAATCCTTTATTTTGTAATTTTTACAATAATTATTAAAAAATTAATTTTAAAAAACTAGCTAATGAGCGCATATTTTTCGCGGTTAGGCCATAAAACTGTAACCGCGCCAATGGTAATCACATGGCAACGAAAAAACGAGAATCAAATTCTTCGTTGCCATGTGACACTTAAGGTACATTTTCACATACTGCTGGAAAAAATAGTTGAAGACAGATTTGTCGCTCGTAATCTACTACAATTTGTAGTTTAGATCGGTTTAACTACAAAGCATTATCGCTCAAACGACGTGTCAAACGCTGATACATTGCTGACAGTGCTGCTGTGCTGTATTAATTTGTATGTACTAAAATAAAAATATAGTAATTTTCCAGTTGCGTTGACATACGAAAATAATTCAGAAATCTTCCACTTTCTAATCTCACATTTGATAAAATAACTTTGTAAAATCCATATTGATCATGATTTTGAAAAAGTGGTGCGACCAAAAATTTTTTAATAATGTTTTTTTGTTTCTGATATGTCGATAATAATATAATAAAAACGATATTATTTTCAAATTATATTTAACGTTTTCGTCGAATTATTTTACAATTTGATATTCAATTATAATATTTTCTTCTTTTGGAAGCTACCATTATTGCTTTTTACAACACAATTTTATCGCTGCAATCTTTTTTCATGTGCACAAGCTGCCGCTGTAATAATTTAGCGACAAAAGTCGTCACATGATCATTTTTGTCGCTCAAATGATCAGTTTCAGCCATTGAACTATATAACATACTGGAAGCCGCGCAAAGATACGTTTTGTTTATTATTCCCGAGCCGAGAGAGACAGAGACTAAGTTGTCATGCTTTCCTTGTCTTACATATTATCTGAACTGAAAACATTAGTCTAAAGAAATGTAGCATGTGCAATGTAATACGTATTTGTTCAAATAATACGTATTTGTTCAAATTTTTGTAATACAAAATATGAATTGATTGCACATTTAATCTGATCAATCAATGCAGGGGCAAAATATATTTTAAGATAGTACATACATACAGTTTTGTTTCATCTACTATGGTGTGAGAACTTTAGACGAATCGACTGTAATACGTTAGAGAAACAAAGAACGCATCACCTTTTAGCGCCTCCTTGCTTAACAGGCTGGATCGGCCACTTTCTATGGTAGCGCGGCTTCCAGTATGTTATATAGTTCAATGGTTTCAGCAGCACGTGAAAATGCACCTTTACTGCTGCCACACTTAAAATATGGCAGCAGTATATAGTATGTGACGTAAACTATAGATTTTTATTACTGGCAGGAAATTCGCAACACGGTCTATATAATCTAACCGCGTAAAATGCGAACTCATTTGTTCTAGCTCTTTTTAATTAATACTTTAATAATTATTACGAAAATTGTAAAATAATAAAGAACTTTTCTGTTCAGTTTATCCGTGCTTTATCCGTTTATAAGCGTTGATTTCTTTACGAAACACTCTATAGATACATAAGCTTGTAATTTGTAATTTTTTTAATAAATAAGAATTTAGTTTTTTTATATTAACAAAAAATGTAAAGAAAAATATTATATTTAAAAAATAATGAGAAGTATTTTTTTATTGATAGCATAAACTTGTAGAAATATTTTCTATTTTAATAGATTTTATATTACGATATCTCTTACGTAATTACTTACAATCGCTGATTTCACCAGAAACAAGCAAACGCTGAACAGAACGACAACAAAAATCACTTTGACCATTTCGTAATAGACTTTATCCTTCTAAATAAATTTTTTACTTTTCTACAAATGCTTATATAGTATCACCATAAATGCCCATATTACCAGTAAGAGCTGACAGATGAACAATTGTAGTAAAACAAAAATATTATTCTATGCCTCCGGATGGAGACACGCTCGACTGCTCTTTTTATGCATTTTTTAAAATTACTCATGATCGGATTTCCGTGATCACTGTTACGAATAAGTCCTTTGTGAAAGAAAACTATTGAATTGATAAAAAAGAAAAATAGAATCCAATCATGGGGAAAGTGAGAGCTTCGTGGAATACATCACACAAGTTTGAACGCGTTCAAGTGACCAGTTCTCTAGGGATTGTTCATCGAAAACGATATAATGTACATCAAATGCTTCGTAAATATTTTTTTTGTAAGTAATTTTTAAATGTGCTGTAAATATATTTTTAAAAAATCCATTTTTGTAAAAGAGAATTTGATTATATATTTTTTTCTTCATAAAGATCTGATATAACATATATATATATATATATATATATATATATATATATATATATATAAATTTCTTTATACACATTTATGTACATATATATGGATGTGCATAAAGAAATTTAGAAATATATCCAATTTGATTTCGTTTCCGTTTTTAGTGAGTTTTCTTAGCACTTCTTGTATTTATTTAGTTCTATACAAGAGAGATTGTTAAGTTATTTAATAACTTTGCATAACTTGTCTAAATAAATATTTTAATATTTTGTTACTTGTTTTAATATTAATCTCTTTATTTGCTTAAATCTTCCAGATATTTCTCAGATTTGCTGAAAATTTTATGTTCAATTTTCTAATAAAATATTGTTAGTGAGCATTCTGTAGACAATAGATTAATATTAAAATTTATAGACTAATATTAAAATTTATAAATATTCTCTCATTCAGATTCAAGATGGATATTTCGAACACTTCTTATAAAGATAAATAAAGAATATATTTATTCTTCAAATATTTTTCAAATATTCTTCAAATACAAAACTTATTAGAATTCGGAAATATTAAAGATCAAAATGGATATATGTTATTAATATTTAGATTATTAATATTTAGAAGTTTTGAGTGCGTTTGTATATATACACATACATCATCGTGCGCGTGTATGTCTATGCGAAGTAATCAAGTAAAACATAGACCGCAAAGAAGTGAAAGTGATGAAATTATGCTACGTAATATATAGGGAGTTTCATAAAGATTGTATCAACGCTTGTGACCGAGTAGAGTGCAGTAAACTGAACTAAAAAGTTCTTTACCATTTTGCAATTTTCACAATAAATTATTAAAATATTAATTGAAAAGAATTGACGTATATGTCATATAACCAGATCACAGGATGTGTACTCTAGGCGTGTCAGCAGCCAGCAGTTATGTTTCATAACAATGAAAAAATGAAAGCGCAATACGCGCGGCTAAGTTTCACTATGTGATATTCGCTGCTGACACATATAGAGCATGTATCTCACAATTTAACTTCGCGAAATGCGCGCTCATTCATCTCTTTTTAACAATTATTGTGAAAATTGCAAAATTGTAGAGAACTTTTCTGTTGAATTTACTGCGTTCTGCCCATTCACGATCATTGATATAATTTTTATAAGACATCTTGATAAAAATTTCGTTAATTCTCTTTTAAAAATAATATATTAATTATCGATCAAAATTAAGTATGAAATCAATAACTATTATTACTAATTACTATTAGCCACGTACTTAAGAGCAATTTGTAAATTTGATATAATATTTGTCATGAAATATCAATTTTACATTACAGAAATATTATACATAAATTCTCCTTAAGAAATAAAAACGCATTTTATATTTATTTAGAAAAATTTGATTTTTAAAATATTTAAAATCAACACTAAATGAGAATTAGGATTCTTTTAATTTCTGAAACATTTTTTATACATACAATGTGTATAATTTAAAAAAAAGGTTTTACGTAAGTTTTAAATCACGCAGTCTCTAAATCGAAGTAAGTTATGAAAACTTGACGTGCCCGGATCATTTACATTATAAACAAATACATCCCCAATAAAATGTAAAATCTTAGATATTATGTAATTAAATATTTAATCTATGTTGGATTACAATCCGGGCACGTCAAGTTTTCATAACTTACTTCGATTTAAAGACCGTGCGATTTAAAACTTGCGTAAAACTTTTTTTTAATTACATAAATTATATAAAAAATGTTTTAGGAATTAAAAGAATCCTAATTCTCATTCAGTATTGATTTTAAACATTTTAAAAATCAAGTTTCTCTGAATAAATATAAAATGCGTTTTAATTTCTTAGGGAGAATTTATGTATAGTATTTCTGCAATGTAAGATTGATATTTCATGGCAAATATTATATCAAATTTACAAATTGCTCTTAAGTATTTAGCTAATAGTAATTATTGATTTCATATTTAGTTTTAATATTTTATTTTTTTCTAATTTTTTTAGACACGTTATTTATTTTGTTTTTCAGAAAATAATTTTGTGAGAGAAAATTACTGTAAATTATTTTTAAGGACTTTTTTTATTAAACATTTTGTTGCATACAAGGTAGAATATTTTTTATGTACTTGGCGTATTTTTTTACCTTTGTAAAATTTTTTAGACGCTTAAGTCTTATCTAACGCCATAAATTTTATATTTTATAGTGCACCATTTCTGAAATATTAGATTTCACATCCACCCAGATAGTCAAGCTTGATATGACATTTTCAGCAAACAAATACATCGCATGTATTATTATATATTTGCAGTATACTTGCTGACATCGAGATAGAATACGTTACGAATGCAGCTATATGTCTGCTTCTACATGCAATCAATTAACGAAGCAAATGGTCTGCAATATTGGTATATTACGTTGTCTACAACATGTCAGCAATATGCTGACACGTTGCAATTAATTTGTTGTTATTAGCACATGAATTCATGTGAGTTCCACGTAACAGACATAATGCTGTTTCACCTTATCTCTAGTTTGTTAAAATTAGTTGCTTCAACAATTATTGGCAACATGACAGCAACCTCATTGCATTTGGCTATCTGGGCAAGGGGTGGTTTTTAAAAATTATTATTATACGGTAAATTAACACTTTTTACACGTCTTATCCAACACCATAGATTTTATAGTATACCGTTTCTGAAATATTTTAGTTTTCACCTCCAAGGAGTTTTTAAAAATTATTATATTATACGGTAAATAAGTCTTTTGTAAAAACCTTATCTAACGGAGTAAGAGTCTCATATTTCTGTGACGCATTTTCGAGATATTGTTTTTCATCCTCAAGGGTTTTTGAAATTTGTTTTGATTTACAAGAAATGATTTTTGAAAATTGTTATTATACGACAAATTATTAGGTGTGTGAATCAATTCGGTCCATCTGACGGTTAATTGCTGTACTATGTAATTTTCTAATTTCTAATGTCTGCAAAAGGCTTTATGGTTTAGTATTGACATCTGGCAATAATATTCAGTTAATAAACGTTTGAGTTTGTAACAATTACATCGTGTTTATCTGATTCGAAAATGTCGAAATTCGAGCCCAAAAAGCATCATTTCCGGGAAGTTCTCATTTTCTGTTTTCATTTGAAGAAATCAGCCGCTGAAACTCATCGAATGCTCGTAGAATCTTATGATGAAAGTGCTCCCATCGATTAATCATGCAGAGAATGGTTTCGACGTTTCAAAAGTGATGATTTCAGTGTCGATGACAAATCTCCAAGTCGAAGAAGTTCGAGGACGAGGAATTGCAGGCGCTAATCGATGAAGATTCATATCAATCGCAACATGAGCTCGCATAATTGTTGAATGTTGATCGATCAACAATTTCTGTGCGTTTGGCAGCCATGGGAAAGATTTACAAAAAAGGAAGATGGGTGCCATACGAACTGAAAGAAAGAGACATCGAGAGGCGGAAAGCCATGTCTGAAATCTTGCTTGCCAGGCAAAAAAGAAAAGGTTTTTCGCATCGTATTGTGAACTGGAGACGAAAAATTGATATATTTTGATAATCCCAAACGAAGGAAATCCATTTGCGACCCAGGAAAACCATCCACATCGAAGCGGAATATTCACAGCAAGAAAGTAATGCTCTGTATATGGTAGGACCAGAAGGGTGTGGTGCATCATGAGCTATTAAAACAAAGCCAAACCATCACTGCCGAACTTTACCAACAACATTGATTTTAAACAACGCATTGAAGAATAAAGGGCCGGAATATGCACAGAGACACGACACAGTGATCTTCCAGCACGATAACGTTCGGCCACATGTTGGAAAGATTGTGAAGGCCACTTTGGAAGCACTTGGCTGGGACGTTTTACCTCACCCGCCGTATTCAGACATTGCTCCATCCGATTATCACTTGTTCAGATCGATGGCACACGGGCTTTCGGATCAACACTTCAACAATTATGAAGAAATAGAGAAATGGCTCAATGAATGGAAGCTTCGAAGGACGAATCGTTTTTCCATCACGGAATACAACAACTGCCATACAGATGGGATAAAATAATAGCAAACGATAGCACTTTGATTATATCTTTGATTTGACTATACTTTGATTAGTGTACTTTTTCATGTTTTTTCACACTAAAGTCTTTTTTTGGAAGAAAAAAACGGACCGAATTAATTCACACACCTTGATATATGACATTTCGTTTTACATGGTTCATATGGTTTATATAAGTTTGTAACTTTCTATGCGAAGCCAGGTATATTTCACACTTTAGACACGGATTAGGTTAGGTTATATCTTTCGAAAGTGGAGCCTCCCCGTAGGGGGAGCGGAACATGAGGTGTCTCAGCATGTACTTTACAAGACAAAGCAAAGTTTATAAATACATATATTCTATTAATATTATTTTGAAAAGAGATTACATTTGTTGAGAGAACTTTGTTTACGTTTTGTTAATAGCAAGAAAGAACGTTTCCACCAGCAAAATTGAGGGTACCGTCCCATGAACGTCGGAATAATCAGTAAACGGAATCAGAAAGGTGGAATGGTGGGGACCTAACCAATCGGAATTATTCTGTTCCGCTTTTTCACAGCTGGGTTTCCCATGATGATTATTTTTCGGAACAGACTTCAGCGTGTGCGTGAATTCAAATATCTAATTGTCACTTAAGAGAGAGTGTTGTGATGAAATGTTAGTTAAAAATGTATGACTCTTTCTATTATTAAATTATATTATGACATTATAATCTAACATAACTCAGCACACATATCATAATTACAATATTTACAGAGGACATTACATTCCCCTTTTTTAATCAAAATATATAAAAAACGGCAACTTTATCACAACACTCTCTCTAAAAAATTAAATCTAAAAGATCATAAATTAAAGAAGCAAACACAGATTTGATCAAAATGATATATAGTTAAAAATAAAAATGTATACTAAAAACAAAACTTATGCTAATGATAAGATCAAACGATATAAACATGCTTGAATCGATAAATCCATCAAAAATTATTAATAATAATCTTGCAAAAATTTTATTATATACTATTAGAGAAGATATCGGAAACGATATTTAAGGAATTTAAATGGAGCTAGTCAATGACTCACAATATTTATATTTAATGATTTAATTAATTTAATTACTTTATTAATATAATTATTGTTATATATTATTAATATAATTAATAATTGTTGCATTAATATAATTATTTATAATTAATTATATAGTTAATTTACTTATTTTTGCGCTCAACTGCAATTGTTATTGCCTATTCCAAATTTATTTCTCAGTAAACACTATCACATTAATGTTATATAGAAGCAATAAAACGCAATGTTAAAAATAACATACATTAATGTGTCGGTAACTCAATGTTAATTGTAATTTCATATATTCATTTCGATACATTCATAAATGTAACATGTAATATAATAGATGTTATATATTGTTATTACCCAGGTAGCAAGCACACGTCACTTTGATGTTCCAAACTGGTCATTTTTGCTCATATAAATGACGTCATCAAAATGACTGATTTGTTACATGACTTTATATTGACATCTTGATATAAAATTATTTTGACATACGTCATACTTCAATCATGAACTGACGATTATTTTATTATTAATGTGATTAGTTAGTACATTGATTCCATAAAAAAATCTTTTTAAAATTTTTTATATAACATGACTTTCACGATCAGATTTTAACAATTTTTTTTTCGAAGCATGCGTTTATCTGTGCACGACTTATGTTATTTAACACTCAAGTGTTCATTAAATTAGTGCGCAATGAAAATACTAGCTATATCAATCGAGTGTAATTAAAGTGTCAAGAAATATACACATTTTTTATAATACAGTTGATTAGCAAAATATATTTTTATAAAACGCAGAAAAACATTATTTGTTAAAATTTTATGATATTAGAAGTAAGTTTTTTATGTTTAAATAAAATAATAATAACAAATATAAAACTTTTGACCTATTTTCTTACCATATTTTTCAGCGTTTTCGAATAAAGCAGTTTAATCAATTCGAGATTCTTCTAAAGAATAGAAGGCTGTAATTGTTCAATGATGCGCTCGAATCAGTTAATCTGCTTTCTTTAATAACGCTATTAAATATATTATTATGCCAAGAAAAAAACGTCAAAATATGGTATATTTTATGACGTCAAAATGTGATACATGTCATGACGTCAAGAATCTGTGACATTAGACTATCACTTTTACGTCATAAAAATGTCAACTCGTGACGTTAAAAAGTCAATAAATGACCAATTTGAAACGTCAAAATGACGTGTGCTTGCTACCTGGATAGTTATATTCCACATAAAATTAGTTCAGAATCATTCATGCGGTAGCGTCGCGACGCTAAGTATATAAAAAACTGATTTAAAAAATTGGATCCGAGCATTGAGAGTCACTGTTCTCGACGCGGCGATACCAAATAGCTTATCCGGAATTTTACGTTAAATGACGTCACATAAACTTTTGATTGAAATATTTCAGAAACTAAATCCGTAATTAAAAATCTAACGCATTTTTCTTAGGCTCTAAGGCATTTTTCTTATATAATGTGAATACAAGCTTTCGGTTGTGACCAGTTTGAATAAAATAAGTGCAGTCAATCCCGAGAAATGATAATCGCATGTCAGAATTGTGACATTTTTCACTTTCCATCATAAGGTTCAGACTCATGAACGTATCTTCGCACGCACACACTCAAAGCGATTTTGTCTCTCAAGCTGCGTTCATACCGTGCAAATATGATCTTCGCACGCACACATTCAAAGCGATTTTGTCCCTCAAGCTGCGTTCATACCACGCAAATATGATTATTCGCTTTAATGTGCAAAAATGCTTTAAAAAGCAAAACCATTTATCTACATGTGTGTGCATACGTGTGATATGTGTATATGTGTGTATACGTGTGAGATTAATTTATCGCATAACAATTTTCAAAAACCTCTTGGGGGTAAAAGCTATCTCGAAAATAGTATCACAAAAACATAAAAACTGTGCCGTTAGATAACACTTCTAAAGAGACTAATTTATCGTATTATAATATTCAAAAATCACCCCTTCAGAGTGAACTCTAATATCTATCTAGAAAATAAAACCTTGTAAAAATGCGCGACGTACCCTTAGTAAAGATTTTAAAAAATGCGTATTTATTTTTTGCAGAAATAATATAAATTTTTACAAAAAGGTGGTGATATCCCTCTAGAAACAACCTTATAACGGTAAAATAAAATACGTCAAGTACATAAAAAAATATCTTTAAAAAACTTAACATATTTTTTTGTAGAAATATAAATTTTTACAAAAAGTAGTGATCCTTAAAAAAACCTTATAAAGGTAAAAAAAAAACCAAGTACATAAAAAAAATCAAAAAATCTAAAAGTGATAAAAATAAAATATTTAAAAACCTATATGAGATCAATACTATTAGCCAAGTACAATAAATTATGTGATATTAATTCGTAATCGATACTAAATGAATTAAGATTACTTTAATTCCTAAAGCATTTTTTATATGATGTATATAATTTAAAAAGGTTTTACGCAAATTCTAAATCGCATAAATGACCTTCAGGTCGAAGTAAGATATGAATAAAATAAAAAATTTGATTATGCAATATACATATATACAACATATATTTGTTAATCCTTTCATTTAGTAAGTACAATTTACATTTTTATAAAATAAGCTTTACGAATATGCAACAGGCAGCCTGTGGGCCAGAAATGACCTACGAAACTTTTCAATCAGACTTACAACAATTAAACTTTATTTGCAGAGAAAATAAAAAAACTCATAAAAAAAGAGATTCCACTTGCCTCTCTATGTGATGATTTCCAAGTAATACAGAGGAGACAAGATATATAAGTTCGAAATTTAGCTACGCGCGTGCACGGTCCATAGTGTAATTTTAAATTTTACATTGAGCCCATCAAAAATCTAGCTTTTGCCTGTTTTAAACTATATGATTTAAATACGAGGCACGCCAAGTTTTCATATCTTACTTCGACCTAAAGATCATTTATGCGATTTAGAATTTGTGTAAAACTTTTTTAAATTATATACGTCATATAAAAAATGCTTTAGGAATTAAAGTAATCTTAACTCATTTAGTATCGAATTAATATCACACAATTTATTGTACTTGACTAATAGTATTGATCTCATATTGGGTTTTAAATATTTTATTTTTATCACTCTTTTAGATTTTTTTATTTTTTTTACGTATTTGTATTTTTTTTACCTTTATAGTAATATATATTTTATTTATTTTTTTTACCTTTAAGGTTTTTTTAGGGGATATAAAATTGTTTAAGTAAAATGAATAAATGAAATAAATTATATGCGTATTGATTTTATAAAAGATTCGAAATTTAATTTATTTAAAAATTTCGAATTTTTTACAATGGCATACTATTATCAATTTGTAAAAAGAATCTGATTTATTACCCAGTGAGCAATAAGTTATCAAAAAGAGTTCTTAAAGCACTCGGATTCAAGAGTTAGACACCCGACAACTCTATCTAGATAATAATATTATGATATCAATAAGTCCTCTAATGCGTCGATTTTAGAGGAAAAGAAGACCACATACAGAACATCTAAAAGAATACTTCAATCTGACTTATTATAGATGTTAAGAAAATGTTACCATTAAGACTTTCTTTATAGGTTAGGTTAGGTTTTTATAGAATTATTTATTTTAAATTCAGTTTGTTAGAAATTAAACTGATAAACAGTGATGCAAGAAGAAGATGCAGCTCAAACACACACAATCAGAGAGCTAGCGTCCTCTTTCTGACACTACTGTTCGTAAGAGAAAAAAAATATCCTTTGGATTTAATGTTAATACTAGTTCTTTATATACATTTCATGGCAAATATTGAATACGAGTTAAGTTAAGAGTGGCTCGCCGCCTAGCGGCAAACAAAGAAATTAATGTAACAAGAAATCTTACAGATCCAACAGATCTTACAGAAAATACTAACCAAATTCTTATAATAAAATCTATTAAACGTTCTAGTTATAAAAAATCGAGTCTTATCATGATAACTAGAAATTCTTGTTTGATTTAACCAAAATGCCTTCAATCATATACGTCTTGTTAGTATAATCAAACGTTTTCTCAGTGTAGATGTCTTTAAAGTGTTTCTAGTAAATGAACTCTAAAGACATCTATAAGTAGACATCATAAAGAGCTTTTTTGAAAGACATCTTACAAAAAGATAACTTATTGATGTCATTTAAAAAAAAAATTAATGAAGTCTTCAAAAAGTCCTCTTAAAGACTTCTTCCTCTCAATAATGCTCACTGGGTAGGACTTAACATATTGGCACATTATATATACAATAATGGGAAGACTTAATCGGAACAATATATTTACTAAATATCTGCGAGATACAATTTAGCATTAATGGAGACAGATAATTTTATAATTTAATACATCACCGTAACATTCTGTAATGCGTATTATTAATATTGCGTCGAAGATAAATCAAAAGATCTGAAACATTCGTTTTTGTTAATGTAATAATATTCAATTTAAAATATATATGAGTAATGAATAATATATGAGTAATTAGAAAGAAGGAAATGTTGTTTCTTCTTTGTGCTCCAAATACCGTACTGTGGCTCTAATTGCCAATTTTGATTTAATTTTTAGTTATATTATTTGTTACTTTTACATTATACTGCAACAAACAATCTTTATTAAGATTTTGCTATAAGTATTAATAAAATTGCTTTAAGTATTAATAAAATTTTTTCTCAATTGCCAATTTTTATAAATATACTATTAAAATCTTGATTAACGTTGTATACATATGTTCTTGTATATTTTTTATGTTCCAGCTATTTTTGAAATTCTCTTCACTTGCAATCATGTTACCAATGCATAACAATAATATGAACAAAGAACTTGCATTGCCAACAACAATTTATCATGCAATGTCTAAACGAGCAACGGAGCAACTATCAGATAGAAATCGAATAGATTTTCAAATAAGAAATCATCGAGGATCAGGAACTTATATATTTGGTTTCGATACAGGAAGCGGGTAAATAAATAAATAAATAAATAAATATAAATATATAAATATATATATATATATATATATATATATATATATAGCAAACACAGAATATTGCAGCAATATTACAACATTGCAGCAATGTTGCTGCAATATTTTGGTTTGCTGGGTATATATATATATATATACAGGGTGGGGCATTTATCTTGAGACAAGATAATATCTCGATTGGAGTCGATTATTTTGTAAAAAGTTTTAGACAAAAGTTGTATGGTTTCAAGGGGGACATAAAATGGTGTCATTAGTTTGATCTTGAAGAGCCACCTGAAGGACACGCGAAGGTCAGCTCCAACTTTTTAAATGGGACATCCTATATGCTTTTGCATATTCTTGTAGCTCATCTCAAGAGCTTTCCAAAACACTATAATTAAGTTAGTTTTCATTAAGTACTTTCCAAGTTATGAGGCTTGAAATCATTTTTTAATTTTACATAAACCGTAAAATATCTTGTAAAATATTCATTTTTCGATTATTTTATCCTAATACTTTTATGTACAAAATAATGAGAGGAATCAATTGGTGTAAAGAAAAGACATAGTTATTTTTAAGAAAAAATATGTAATTGTTAATTGCAAATTACATTTTTTTTTTCGAAACAACTATGAGTTTTCTTTACACCAATTGATTTTTCTCATTATTTTGTACATAAAAGTATTAAGGTAAAATAATCGAAAAATGAATATTTTACAAGATATTTTACGGTTTATGTAAAATTAAAAAATGATTTCAAGCCTCATAATTTGGAAAGTACTTAATGAAAACTAACTTAATTATAGTGTTTTGGAAAGCTCTTGAGATGAGCTACAAGAATATGCAAAAGCATATAGGGTGTCCCATTTAAAAAGTTGGAGCTGACCTTCGCGTGTCCTTCAGGTGGCTCTTCAAGATCAAACTAATAACACCATCTTATGTCCCCCTTGAAACCATACAAAATAATGAGAGGAATCAATTGGTGTAAAGAAAAGACATAGTTATTTTTAAGAAAAAATATGTAATTGTTAATTGCAAATTACATTTTTTTTTTCGAAACAACTATGAGTTTTCTTTACACCAATTGATTTTTCTCATTATTTTGTACATAAAAGTATTAAGGTAAAATAATCGAAAAATGAATATTTGTCTAAACTTTTGTCTAAAACTTTTTTCAAAATAATCGATTCCAATCGAGATATTATCTTGTCTCAAGATAAATGCCCCACCCTGTATATATATATATATATATATATATATATATATATATTTCCATACACACACACACACACACACACACACACACACACACAGGATGTCTTACTTTAATATCGGAACATCGAAAGCAATACATTTCCAAACAATTTTTCAAATAAAAGTTATAGGGTTTGGAGGGGGAAAAAAGATGGGAATATTAGTTTAATCTTGGGGGGGTGTAAGTATTACCCAGTCAGTTGAATCTGTTCTAACAAATTTTGCCAAGTACTTGTTACAAATTAATGTCAGCACAAAGATTGCAGATTATATGCAAAACTTGTTTTATCAGATAACAATAACATAATGTTAGCAGAAATGTTACACAATCTGCTGATATAATTTAGCAGAACACTAGCAAAAACCGAGCATAGTTGGCACATAATTATTACAGCAAATTGGCAGCAAAACTCAAGATCTGCGCGATGCAATATCATATTCAACTAGATTTGCGCATAATTTCTAGTAGTAGATTTCTAGTAGTAGATGGCAGAAGTGTAACAAGGTTTACATGATTCGATAGTTCCTTCGCTTATCGCTATGTGATGTATTTTCTCGCAATCAAATTTCTGTCAAAAATATATATAAAGTCTTGATTATTAATAAAAGATTAAAAATATAATAACTATTTCTATCACTTTAATTTCTGATATCTGATACAAACAGATGAGATTCAGAACATTAAACTAATTGGAATCAACAGAATAAATGGGAAATTATTCATTTACTGCCTATTTGAAGCATAAAACAAGAATTTAATTCTAAATTATATTTCAAGTTTTATAAATTAAATTAAATTTACTTTTATCATTTATTTTTTACTAATTTCATTAAATTAATTAATTCTTCATTATCGAGAGATATAATTACGATATAATATACAGAGTGTATCTGAAATGATGCACTAAACTTTAGACGCGTATTCTAAAGGTCAAAATAAGACTTTTTTCCCCTATAAACATAAATCCGCAAATGAACTCCCCTTCAAGCTAGAGACCCCTAAAGTTTGAGGAAAAAATTGAAAATTGGCTATTATGTATTGCCTTATTATTTGACTTCGGTTTTGATGTTACCTATCACCCTCTCTTGAGAGATAAATAAATTTGCGTTGCGGATGTTTGGTCAATTTCACACATTTTCGAATTTTAGCTCAGAGAGGGGTTCATTTGCAGATCCATGTTCATAAGAAAAAGTCTTATTTTGACCTCTAGAATATGCTCCTAAAGTTTAGTGCATTATTTCAGATACACCCTATATACAGGGTGACCCATTTTAACTTAGGCAGCCAAATAACTCGAAAACCAAACCCAGGAGAGAAAAATGTTTCAGACAAAAGTTGTTTGGTTTCGAGGGGGCTATAAGATGGTATCATTGGTTTGACCTTGAAGAGTCATTTGAAGGTCACGTGAAGGTTACCTCAATTTTTTTAAATGGCACTCCCTATTTTTTATTACATATTCTTATAGCTGACCTCGAGAGCTTTCCAAAACACTATAATAAAATATTTTTTCATAGAGTACTTTTCGAGTTATGAGGCTGGAAATCATTTCTTAATTTTACATAAACCATAATATATCTAGTAAAATATTCATTTCTCGATTATCTTGCCTTAATACTTTTATGTACAAAATAATGAGAGAAATCAATTGGTGTAAAAAAAACACATAGTTGTTTCAAAGAAAAAATATGTAATTGTTAATTGCTAATTACATATTTTTTCTTAAAAATAACTATATGTTTTCTTTACACCAATCGATTTTTCACATTATTTTGTGCATAAAAGTATTAAGGTAAAATAATCGAAAAATGAATATTTCACTAGATATTTTATGATTTATGTAGAATTAAGAAATTATTCAAGCCTCATAACTCGAAAAATACTCAATAAAAAAATATTTTATTATAGTGTTTTGGAAAGCTCTCGAGGTCAGCTACAAGAATATCTAATAAAAAATAGGGGGTGCCATTTAAAAAAATTGAGGTGACCTTCACGTGACTTTCAAATGACTCTTCAAGGTCAAACCAATGGTACCATCTTATGGCCCCCTCGAAACCAAACAACTTTTGTCTGAAACATTTTTCTCTCCTGGGTTTGGTTTTCGAGTTATTTGGCTGCCTAAGTTAAAATGGGTCACCCTGTATTACGTTATATGTTGTTAGAAAAAAATTGTAATTAACCGATAACTTATCGATAATATTCTTATTTAGCATCTGTAATAATCAATTTTATTGCATTTATACAACATTAATATAAATAAATAAATATAAACCCAGACAGCACAAGACATCCTATGGACATTCATTTTATGTCTATTTTACGTCCGCACATCCCATGGACATAAAATAAACGTTCATCGTACATCCGATTTAAGACATCTGTTAACGACCAATATTGGACGTCCACAAGATGTCCGGTCTTGGAGGTTAAAGTTTCGCGCGAGCACGCAAGGATGTATTAGTTTATTCGTTTACCGCTACGCGACATGCGATGCGCTATCTTTCTCGTAAGTAAGTTAAGTTTTAAGTTATGAGAATTATATAGGGTGTCAGGAATATTTTTGCAGTCCCGAAGTATGAAGGTAGATTGGCTCAAATTAAGAAGGAAGGTACTATACTATTTTGCGATATTCGCAATAATTAACGAAAAATTAATGAAAGAAGATCGGCCAATGCGCGTGGCTAGAAGTGCGTGGCGGTGAAGGCGGTCTCATTGTAACATAATGGCGGCGCGCGGTAAAGCAGTGATTGGGGAGGGGAAGAGCCTTCGTCGCGCGCCTACACACTTATCGCTCCTCTCCAAAGTCTGTAGACGAACTGATGAACGGGAGGGGAAGGAAGATCTTCGCATGAGCGCCATTTTGGAACTACGAAGTATGTGTGAGTGTGTGTTGTACGAGAAGAGTGAGTGAGTAGTAGTAAAAGTGGAAGGTGGAATTGATATATAGTACTAGTAGTATTAAAAAATACATGTAATAATGCCAAGCTGTTGTGTGAAAAATTGTCACAATCGTGCAGAACAAGGATTTCGTCTTTGTTTCTTTTCCCCTTTACTCCCAATTTATTATGTTTATTTGATTTTCAATACATTTTCTTTTCTTTTATTTTACCACTTCTTAATGTAAATTCAATTATATTAATTTTTTAAAACACTCTTGTCTATCCTTAACCTCTTTTATATATTAATACATTAACAGCTCTGACAAAAAACTTAGGTTAAACATTTGGAAGATAGCAGCCACCATGTTAGGGCTAAATGTGTAAATATGAATGCGAAAACCTTCCTTTTCCTCCCGTCGTTCATCTACAGACTTTGCTCTTTCCCTCCCCAATTATCGTTTCGTCGCGCGCCGCCATTATGTTACAGTAAGACCGCCTTTACCACCACGCACTTCTAGCCACGCGCATTGGCCGATTTTCTTTAATTAATTTTTCGTTAATTATTGCGAATATCGCAAAATAGTATAGTACCTTTCTTCTTAATTTGAGCCAATCTACCTTCACATCGGGTCTGCAAAAATGTTTCTGACACCCTGTATAAAATTTGCAAAAAGTAACAAATAAGATTAAAAATATACTGTTCAATTTAATTTCTGATCTAAATGCACGGGTTTCAGATATTAAATTGATTTTATAAGTTGGACAAGTAAATGTTCAGCAAATAAACAAAAATAATCCGTTTACTATCTATTTAAGATGTAAAGTGCAATATGCAAGTATAAATTATAAATAAAATTTTTATATGAAATTTTTATGTAAAATTTTATATGAAATAGATAAATTATATTATTATTTAGGGATTAAAGTATGTCCACCAATTTCATAAACAAATGTACCACGGATGTCCATTGAATGTCCAAAGAACATAAAACGGATAATCTGTGGATATCCTCAATTTCCTTAATGCTCGTCTTATGGATATCCTTTGGATATTTGTGTGCTGTCTGGGAATATATTAATATATTAATAATATGTATATTAATAATATTATTTATATTAATATATTTAATAATATTAATATATAAATATATTAATATAAATAAATAAGCATATCTTGTTTCTGTTGTCAATTTGCTAGATTGCGTGCGAAGATTTTGCTCAGTTTCTACGAAAATCTGTTTAACCGATGTTGTTAGATTATTGTTTACAGATTCTGTCGTCAAAAGCTTAATGCGGATATAGATGGCTATGGTTCTTATAAGATTCTGATCGAATCTGCTGCAAATCTGCTGACATTTTGCTTACTGGGTTAGGTCATGTAAAGTTCTAGTTTTTTAAAATGAAAGTACCCTAATTTGTCGATGTAAATCGAATCTTCGAATAAAATTTATAAGGATAAACTAATCAAAAATTGAATTGTTTACGAGATATTTTATACTTTAGGTTGACATAATTTTACAGAAACTATAAAATAATTCGTAAAAATATTTATTTTTTGATTATTTTACCTCAATACTTTAAGTATAGAATATATAATAAGAGGAATTAATTAATGTACAGAGAACACATAATTGAAATCCTTAAGAAAAAATATAAAAAAATATGAATTTGCAACGAGCAATTACGTACTTTTTTAAAGAACAATTACGTACTTTTTTAAAGAACAATTATGTGTTTTTTTAAATACTAATTGATCTTCCATTATTCTGCATAAATAAATATTTTATGATCTTTTATAGTCTATATAAAATTATATCAACTTATTATATAAAAATTGTAAACTTAAAATATCACTAAATTAAAAATATCTCGTAATCTATTCAATTTTTGATTATACTACCCTTACAATTTAATACATGGAATATTGTGAAACATTGAGAAATCGATTCTTATCGACAAATTTTCTTATCAACACTTTCTTATCGACACAACTTTTGATTTTCATTACCTTAGCACCTGCAATCAAGATCGAATTAATATTCCTATCTTTTTCCCCCTCCTACAACTTTTATTTGCAACATTTTTTTTTGAAAATGCATTGTTTTCGAAATATTATGGAGTCTAAGTTAAAATGAGATAACCTATATATAATTATTACCATATTATAATTATTAACATATACATAATGTTATTATTATATACACAAAGAATCAACATATCGTTTGTGAATTAAAAGTTTTATAAAAAATTTCGAAAAAACAATTATTGAAAAGATTAATATATTTCTACTGTAGAAAAAATCGGCAATTTAAAATGGAAGAACGTCTTCAGGACGGAAGCGTCAAGGGCCAATATGGTTTTTATGATGCAGAAGGACAACTTCAAATTATCAATTACATCGCAGGCCCTATCGATGGTTATCAAGAACGTCATCATGAAGCTATTACCTACAAACCTGAAATTTAATCTTACAAATAATTCCATCATATTAAGATTTTTTTTTATCGTTAGTCATTAAATTATGAAATCAGAAGTGAAAAATTTCGTGTAAATTTGAAACGTGAAAATTTCTTGCAAAAATTAAAACAGCCCGGTAAGCAAAAGGCGCGCAACTTGCCAGCAGATTGGCGACAGATTTCCACAAAAGTTGCTAGCAGATTGGCATCCATTGTGTCCGCAATGATACAATCCGCAGGCTCACGATCTGCAAAATCTGAGCAGAATCTGTAGCTTCTGGTCATTCATATAAATATGTAATAAAATCTGAGCAGAATCTGTAGCTTCTGGTCATTCATATAAATATGTAATATAAATTCAATAAAATTGATTATTACAGATGCTAATAATAACACTATTATCGGTTAATTACAATTTTCTTCTAATATAACATATAATATGTAATATATGTTATTTATATCGTAATTATATCTCACATAGTGAAAGACTAGTTCAATTTAATTAAATTAATAATAAAGTAAATGAATGAAAGTAATTAAATTTAACTTATATATTATTATTATTATAAAACTTGAGATATAATTTTTATTAGAATTAAATTCTTTTAAGCTTCAAATAGACAGTAAATAATTTTTAATTATCTTATTGATTCCAATCAGTTTAATATTCTGAATCTCACCTGCTTGTATCAGATATCAGAAATTAAAATAATAGAAATAGTTACTACTATATTTTTGATCTTTTAGGCCCAGTTCCACAACTTATTCTAATCGAAGTTTAGCTCATTAAAGGACAATTTACATTGCGTCCAAAGCTCACTGTATCCAATCAGACGTCATATATCGGACATTGGACACAATGTAAATCCTCCTTTAACGAGTTAAACTTTAGTAAATCCTCCTTTAACGAGTTAAACTTTAGTTAAAGTGAGTTATGGAATTGGACTTTATTAATAATCGCGACTTTATATACAGGGTGTTTCATTTTAATCCGACCACCTAAATTTCTCGAAACCTAAGCAAGATAGAGAAAAATGTTTTAGACAAAAGTTGTATGGTTTCAAGGGGGACATAAGATGGTGTCATTAGTTTGATCTTGAAGAGCCACCTGAAGGACACGCGAAGATCAGCTCCAACTTTTTAAATGGGACACCCTATATGCTTTTGCATATTCTTGTAGCTCATCTCAAGAGCTTTCCAAAACACTATAATTAAGTTAGTTTTCATTAAGTACTTTCCAAATTATGAGGCTTGAAATCATTTTTTAATTTTACATAAACCGTAAAATATCTTGTAAAATATTCATTTTTCGATGATTTTACCTTAATACTTTTATGTACAAAATAATGAGAAGAATCAATTGGTGTAAAGAAAACTCATAGTTGTTTCGAAAATAAATATGTAATTTGCAATTAACAATTACATATTTTTTCTTAAAAATAACTATGTCTTTTGTTTACACCAATTGATTCCTCTCATTATTTTGTACATAAAAGTATTAAGGTAAAATAATCGAAAAATGAATATTTTACAAGATATTTTACGGTTTATGTAAAATTAAAAAATGATTTCAAGCCTCATAACTTGGAAAGTACTTAATGAAAACTAACTTAATTATAGTGTTTTGGAAAGCTCTTGAGATGAGCTACAAGAATATGCAAAAGCATATAGGGTGTCCCATTTAAAAAGTTGGAGCTGACCTTCGCGTGTCCTTCAGGTGGCTCTTCAAGATCAAACTAATGACACCATCTTATGTCCCCCTTGAAACCATACAACTTTTGTCTAAAACATTTTTCTCTATCTTGCTTAGGTTCCGAGAAATTTAGGTGGTCGGATTAAAATGAAACACCCTGTATATTTCTGACAGAAGTTTGATTGCGAGAAAGTACATCACATAGTGGTAAGCGAAGGAATTATCGAATCAAATGCAGATTGTAGTTAATTTGCCATCAGATAACACATACAAACCCTGTTTCACTTTTGACATCAATCTGCAGTCAAATTACGCGCACGCAGATCCTGTTTAGTTTCTGCCGACAATCTGATATCAAGTCATGTTAGCAGATCCTGCGCCAATCTGCGTTAGATTCTATGAGCAGGCTCTGCTCGATTTTTGATATCAACTTTGTCAACTTAATCGTAATAACAGCTTCAGTACCAAATTTGTAGCCTTTTTGCTAACATTAATTGATAGAAGACACTTGGCATGATTTTTTTACAGACTTTGCTATCTGGGAGATTTTTTTTTAGTTTTGTCTTTGAATCTTTTTTATTACAATTTATTTTTTCATGTTTTACATTTTTAACAAAAATTTTCATAATTTGGGAATTAAACTCTTGCTTTATGCTTTAAATAGACAGTAAACGGATAATTTTCCATTTAGTTTATTGATTCTAATTAATTTAATACTCTAACTCTCATATTCTGCTTGTACGAGGATTAGCAATTAAAGTAATAAAAATAGTTACTTCTGATCTTTTATTAGCCGTGATTTGCAGATTTTATATCTGTTGCTGACAGAAATTTGGTTGCGAGAAAGTATATCGCATATAGCAAAGGGACTATCAAATTAAATATATGCAAATTTTGTTGCCAATTTATCATCAAATTATGCTCGCAAATCTTGCTTGGTTTCTGTCGACAATTTCATATCAAATTGCATTCCACAGATCTTACGATTTTTGCTGGCAAATGACATCAAACTGCATTGCGCAGATTCCACTCGGTTTTCACTGCTAATTTGCTATACTAATTCTATGCAAATCCTGTTCAGTTTCTGCTTCTAACTTGCTATCAAATTATGTCGGCAGATTTTGTAGTATTTCTACTAACATTTTGTTATTATTATCAAATATAATATATACAATCTGCAGTCTTTCTGCTGACAATAATTTACTGCAGACACTTAGTAAAATTTGTTAGAACAGACTTGACTGATTAGAAAGATTTAACAAAAGAAATAAATATCGAGAAGATTTTGTTGTAAAAAAGATAATATATTCTTACATCTTTTAATTATGTTACCAATTAATTCCCAAATAATACATGTAGATGTCCTCTAGAAACCTAATATAATAGACAAAACTGATATCTAACAGACATCCAGTGGATATTTGTGAGATATTTATATTTTATTGTAATATTTAAAATTTCTAAATTATATTGAATACTTTACATAACATGAAGTAATCATATATGCATATTAAATTTTCATTATATATATATATATATATATATATATATATATATAAAATGATATTTTTTAACATCCTACAAATATCCTACAAATATCGTGGATATTTATCATCATATTCAGAATGATCCTGAGGATGTTTCATGTTGCCTAAATTTACAAAATTAGTTATTATTTAATAAATTGGTTACCTAATAAACTTAATTCTACTGTATTTAAGAACTTATGGAGGATTATATTTCGACATAATACTTATATTAATTATAAGTTTTCTTAAATAAATTAATTAAATTAATATATCTACATCATGGAACATTTTAATTACATTACAGCAATGTTACAATCTATTTTGTAAATAAACTCAGCTCCTTTAAATAAATTTGTTTCATCAAAAAACAAGCAAATTTGAATCTTCCCCTTCTTCCGAAAGCTGAACAGATTCGAAGCGTCAAAAAAAATGAATCATTATATAACGCTCGAAGAAGGATTCCATCAATGAAGTCTCTAGCTTATTAATTCAAATATATGGATCAATCATCTGCACAAGAAATAAATAACTGAAGATGTACGATATAACAGCGTTAGTATTTTCTATAAATTACAAAAATATCCATTGTAAAGCATTCTCTATTCTTCAACTTTACACGATGAGAGGCCCGCGAGGCCATTACTACTCGAATCAACTTACCTTGACTATACAAAGATGAATTAATCAAATCCGCAAGCGAGGTCATTTCAATAGGAAAGATCACCTAGTGCTCCTAAAGCAGGAAAACGATATGGCTGACCAGCAATTATTCTTAGGGTTGCCTGAGCATTTATACAGTGATCCCTTCATGATGCTAAAATACTCGAGATAGCTGTGATTATGTAAAAAATTAAATTATTCCATCCATACATTGTGTTCACACAATTGTGCAATACAATACCTCTTTATATTTCCTTGCTGGAAAGCTCACTATTTCCTTGCAATAAGGCTCACTCCGGTATATTATACATAGAGCTCGCTGAACGAAATCTCAGGTCATTATGCCCATGGAAACAGTTTTGATAAATACTTACCTTTTACCTACTTCAAATGATTTCGAATTAATTTTGACGACGACCTTGACCTTTAAATCATTGACTTTCTTATCATTTGTTGTTTATTAAAAAGTTATAGAGATATAAATATATTAATATAAAAACATCTCAATTTCTTTGATTTTCATATACAAGTTCCCAGAATTCACGGATACATAGCGTGGTTGTCGTGTCAAAAGAAATAACATTGGTAAAACTGCATATGGCAACCTCACCAATTTCGATGACCTTGAAATATGTTTTCAAGGATGTCCCCGATTAATTTGCAAAAAGTCATCGCTTGTTTATTACAAAGTTATTTACAAAATAAGTTCAATGAACTTATATTGGACTTATTTTGCAGCATAAATTGCAGTCTGAATGGGTTTTCAACTTTTTATATGAAATGAGATTCACTCCACATCACCCGCGTGCGCTTTCTGCTTTCAGTGCAAAACTACACAATCTATTATACAGGGTGAGGAAAAAAGTATGGAAACCCCTAAATTTTTCGAAAACTATGCATTTTAGAAACAAATGTTTCAGACAAAAGTTGTAAGGTTTCAAGTAATGCATTACGTAGCAATATCAGTATAACCTTGAATAGCACTGTCAAGTTCACATAAAAATCACTTTGAATTTTTTAAATGGAACCCCCTACTTTTTATTATATATTCTTGTAGCTTGTTTTAAGAACTTTCCAAAACACTATAATAAAGTATTTTTTCAGTGAGTACTTTTCAAGTTATAAGGCTCGAAATAATTTCTTAATTTTACATAAACCATAAACAATAAAATATTTTTTCTTCAAAACTCTGTTTTTTTTTTTACACCAATTGATTCTTCACATTATCTTATGCATAAAAGTATAAAGGTGAGATAATAAAAAAATGAATATTTTATTAAATATTTTATGGTTTATGTAAAATTAAGAAATGATTTCAAGCCTCATAACTCGAAAAGTACTCAATGAAAAAACACTTTAATATAGTGTTTTTTGGAAAGCTCTTGAAACAAGCTATAAGAAAGTGTAATAAAAAATAGGGGGTTCCATTTAAAAAATTCGAAC